TTAAGAATAAAATATCAGAAAATATAACGGAATAAAAATCAATATTGACTATCTAATGTCTGGCGTAATGGATTTTAAAGTGGAAACGTTAAGGCAAGTAATACACCTAATAACAAAGACAAGTGCACTTTTATATCTAACCAGAGTATCAAAGTTGGTTTACTAAACAAAAAAAAAAAAAAAAAANAACCAGAGTATCAAAGTTGGTTTACTAAAAAAAAAAAAAAAAAAAAAAGATATATATATATATATCTAATATGTTGTTGTTATCTCGTGACTAACCAATTCTTGTAGGTCTTTCAGGGTGAATCCGCTGTAGTCACTTTCGCCGTTTTCATTGTAGCAACAACATATGCGAAGCAAATCCAACATGAGAGACAGTTTTGCTAATGTTTGCTTTTCAAACTGCGTCACACTTCACCGCACATGATAATATTATTGATAGAACTAACGCGGTTTACAACGGTTGTCGGAAACGAAAAAAAAAACAACAATAAATTAAAAAATTGCACGAGCGACGGGCGTTTAGGGGAAGAAAAAAAAATTTAAATAAATAAAACGGAACACACGTTAGGAACACTGCGCCGTTAACGGTTGTTGCAGTACTGTAATGACGGTAATGGTAATAATAATAATAATAATAATATTATTATTGTATTTTTCCATCTCGAAACACGAACCGACCAGTTCGACTGGAAGAACATCGAAACCGTTTGTGGCGTTTTACCGCGCGATCCAACGACAACTGTTCATATTATATTTATTTACACACAGTCGAGTGTACACATTTCACACAAACCAGCACTAGCACGCGGTCAGTTGATAAAAACCGCTTTACAATCACATTATTCCCTCCTGTGCGCCGAGTTTATAATTATTTAAGTCGGTGTGTACACAGCTCGGTGCAGTGTACACTATTACTCCAGCAGTGGTAGCAGCAGAGGCAATAACGAGAGTAAATAATTGCAATTGAAGTACTATGGTATTAGTATATGAATTATGGACCATGGTAAGGAATTGATTTTGTCGCTAAACGGTTTCATTCATTATGTCCGAATCTTATTATCTACTACCGAGAAATAGTTGTAGGAAAAACAAAAGATTAAAAGGATTGCTTTACTCGATATAAATAATTTCTCTTGTGTGATACATATTTTCAGACTGTTTAAAAGAAAGAGGCTGAGACACTTCATAGCACAGCTTAATGAAATGTACAAACACTTTGGCTTTTTGGGTTTATTAAATTTTGGAGACATAATATTGTCACTGTCATGCTACACAAAAGCTTTTATTAAATAATACTCTAATTTCAACGATGTTTATAGTTCCAAATAAAAAATTTAAAGAAATTGATTTCTAACAATCTTTTTACAGAATAAAATAAAATAGTCATCCAATTCGACGTTTTTCTCAAAAAAAAAAAAAACCGCCTTACAGAGAAATTAAAATGAGTATTATAACGACAAGAGTGGTAATTTGGTTTACCCAAAATCTCTCATTTAAAAGTTGTGTTAGTTATCCAACAACTAAATAAAATTATGAATATTATCATATAAGCTAATTTTTCTAATTTAATGTTTTCTTTAATTGGTTAATTGGCTTAAAATTTTCAACATACACTACAATACATAAAAAACACAATTTGTGCAGTAAAGAATTTTTGACCACAGCTATCTTTTGGTATTTTTTCCGAAATCCAGTAATTTAAAAAAAATATATGCCTTTTGTATCATTTAATAATAAAGGGAATTGTTATATTTTATTTATACGACAAGTTGTTTTTATATTTACTGAGAATTTAAAAATATTTTAAATCAAGTTTACATAGTTCAAATAGTCCCATTAGAAAATGAAAGATACATAAATTATTAGGCACAAATATAGAGTGCTTTGAAAACTTAGCAACATCTGAAAAGATATTAGCACTCAAAGCAAATTTTATCATTCTTTTAAAATTTTGTAATGAAAAATACAGTAATTTCTTTTATATTATACAAATAATTATTATTATTTTTTTTTTTTGAAATATTGAGTGTGTGCAATGGTATTGGTATAGTATGTGTATTTAAAAATATATATATATATGTTTTAGTTTCAAAATTTATAGTTAAAATACAACAGTAATAGGAAAAATATGTATGTAATAGAAGGTTAAGTATATCATTTCGAGCAATGCGTGAAAAATTACTTTTTATGTTTGAACTTAAGAACCCTCAAGTTGAAAAACACTAAGTGCGTCTATGGTAAAATTATACTTAACACTCCAGCTGTTTATTAATATTTAATAAATACGAAGTATTTAAGTAGGCACATACTATAAGCAATGTACAGAAATTGCATCTAAGAAAATATTTTTGTAATAAAAAAATGATGACTACTTTTTTCAGATATAGTCATTATGTTAAGAATGACATAAAACTTGATAGTTACCAGAACACTTTCGTGAACACACGTTTTGTTTAACAACTGATAAATTTAAAAAAAAATTGCTATAGAATGTATAAAAATTAAAAAAAAAATCAATAGTTTGTTTCTAACTTATAAAGATAGAAGTGCACATAAAAAATTATAAATTTTAATGTTTATTAGCAACTTATAAGTGGATTACTGATAAGATTTTTCAGCAACTACCGCTATAAAAATATATTTATTAATTCACTCAAACATAAACAAACCTAATGGGGAAAGTCTTTAAGGCTATGAACCGTCCCAAAAATCGAGGGTCGACGAATCGAAAAATTTGCTGCACTTTTTATCTTAATTTAAGCAGTTGTGAAACTATTACTTTTAAAAATTTCAACAGCAATCATTTTCTTTTTGTGCATTTTTGTTTTTAGTTTTTTAAACAGATTAATTTTTATTATTTCAATAATGTTTAGTCCGTTAGCCATGACCTCTGTTAAAAAACGCATGGCCCAATAGCAATTGTAAACTGTTCATATATATGTTATCCTAAATAGGCCACGCAGTCATAAATGATTATATTTTTTAAGTTTAATTATAAGGACAGCTATATAAACATATATTAATATTATAAATGTATTTAACGACGAACAATGCAGCAATTCTGACAAAAATGGGGGGGGAATGAGGGCTTACCATTCTAAAAGATAAGATTTATATTATATATGTATTATGTATTTTTGTATAAAAACATATTTTCGTATGGGAGAAAAAAAATTTAAATATGTCAATAACCCACCAATATTTATTATTTTATCACTGTATTGAAGCAGCAATTTAATCATATTTTTATATTATATTTTAAATCTAACTATTGTTAGTTAATATTATTTCATTATTTCTGAGTATGAAATTTTAATTTTTAGTAAAAAATATCATTATTAATTAGTATTATTGTTTAAAATATAATTTTAAAGTTTTGATAGGATTACCATCGAGAGATGTATTTTTATTTTATGTTTTAAAATTCTAGTTATAACTTCATACATAAGAAAATTTTTTTTGAAATATTAGCTAATAAAGAATATAATCTTGAAAATAATCACTTTATTTTAATAGATAAGTTATACTTAGGCGGTTACTAGAAATTTATAAACACTGTTTAAATAATGTTGGTGGCCGTCTAAAAAACATTAAAAATAATTTTAAACGATTTTTACATACACATACATTTTCTAGTTTATGATTTATATTAATCAAAAAATATACTTTAGCGTGTAAAAACATAATAAAATATCGTAATTCGATTGTTGATGGAGATTCCATCGGAAACTCCATCGCAAACGGCTGCTACTCCAAAACAGAGTGTCTTATCAACCTCTGCAGAGTGCCAATTGGTAGTGGTGGTGAAGGGGAACAACGTACACGAAAGTGCTTTCGGATATTGTCCAATGCTACTTTCGGCAACGAGGCGGCCTTGGAGACCTTGCTTTAAATACACCATTTATAATCCATATATTAATTTTGCCTGGAATAGATTAATTCACGATTTTCAAGATTAAATCGATGATATAAAAAGTACTCCATAGTTATGCGAGAGATTTATTTCGACTGGTATTTAAAAATATTGAACTATAAAACTTTTAACCGTTGAATAACTTTTAGTAACAAAAAAAATATTTCAATATAACTTTATTCTATTGTAATCATTACAATGATAGTGAAGTATGCCATTTGCCTTTTTTTCTATTTAAAACGTTTATACAAATGTTAAGACACTTAAACTATAACCCGAGACGTTCTGAATTGTCAACGAAGTCTATACAATTGTGATTTTATCAGGTTCTGGTTATACTTGCTTTTGTCAAGAGAAATAGTAATAGATCTCTCAATGTTTGCCATTAATACAAGGTACCAATGATTCGTTCAGAAGAATTTAGCTAACGTTTTCTTAAAAAAATAAAATAAAATAATTACCACCCGTCTGTAACGCACCTCTATAATGTTGTATATTTTAACCTATGTGTTTTCTCAGTAACAACTACTTTAAACCTTGCGTATAATATACAATAAGAATACAAATACTGAATACGGCCAATATAATAGACTGAACACCATTGATAAAAAATGTCTGGGATAAATTATTTCAGTACATAGGTTGTATTTATTTGCCAAACAATAATTTATATGATTATTGCTAATCACGTTATTAGGTAGTAACTAACATTATATAAATGTTCAATATACTCGTACACTTGTGATGACTATGTCAAACTGATATATATATATATTGTGTCTTGAAACTAATATGTTGTACTTCAAATAAATGTAAATTATACTCAACTATAATCAAATAAGAGGAAGTCAATTTTGCCATAAAATTTATCAACCTTAAGAAAAATTTCATAAAGTGTCATATTGTCGTGATTTTTTTTAATTTATTTAATTAATTTTAACATTTTTTGATCTCAGTCTTAAAAATTTTAACGCTGTTTAAAATGTTCCACAATTTGACGCGATGGAAAAATTACACATTTGTTAGAAAACGTTAATCATATTGACGCATGATAAATAAATTATGTTAATAAAATACTTACCTTAATTAATTTGGCAGTATTTCTAGGCTTTCTATGATCAGGTGGAATGTATAGGTGAACTTTATGAGATAGACCGTAAGGATCACGTTCTGGCACGATGGTCCTGCGGAGAGGTAAACATAGTCGCCAAATAAAGTTTTGCAAAGATCTTGCAGACACACCATCCGTTTCCACTGGACTGGTAGCACTGCCAGGTACGTTGAATGGTTGAGTCTGTAATTGCGGTGACGAAACCACAGGTACCTCTAATTGGAGATGCTGTTCCTTATCTTCTGATATTGGACGAAGCGCGAAACTGGGCCCACAACCGCCGTCCATTACTGATTCGACCGGACTCATTTCAGCCAAACTGTCTTCGGCATTTCGTCGCTGTACTTGTCGTTCTATACGCAATTGCATTCCGGCTAACACAATAGCTTCGTCACTGCTGCATTGCAACACTCCCGAGACGACTGCATTTTGTAGCTAAAAATATTTTCCATATAAATCATCGTTGTAAATTTATATTAATAAAAAATTTATAAAATTATCAAAGATATTACTAGAATTTAAATAAAAACATTGTTATCTTATATTTTTTTTTCTACATTTATTTTTGTAAAGTTCAACAACGGTTAATATGTTTTGCCTCATTATGGCGAAAACTATCGGCTGTAACCGAATCTAACGTGACTGTACACAGTTATTTAAGTTTCTCATTATAGTTTGCAATCGGTGAAGCCATTAACAATGTTTCATTACTCTGTTAGTATTGAAAATCATGTGGAAATTTTGATACAAACAAAACACGCGTCCATTAAACTAATAGAGCAAATTATAAATTTAATGTACTATAGTGAAAATAAATTTACCTAATTACTCATGACTTTTGTATTTCACGGTCGACATGAAAAAATATAACACATTGATTTAAATCTTAATTGTAATTCGGTGGATAATTTTAACTACACTATGAAAATTATTAGATAAGCGCTGCAATGTTGCTATTAAACCCATGCGGCACCACGCTGTTCACCTTGTAGACAAATTATCAATTTATTTTGTTTTGTTATCGATTTTTATAAAAACAATAAAACGTGCTTGGAAATCAAAGGTAATTAATCAACAAAATTGATATTATTTATTTTTGTAACAATTAAAAAAATGTATACTAGAAGGGTTTCTTGTAAAAATATGTTCAAGTATTATATCTTTGTAATATATGAATTTTAAAACAGGGTTAATATATTTAAATTCAAATTACTGTGACTGACAAAAACGGACATGGTCGGTTTTTACAACCATACATGGTTAATTTAATATATAATTTTTAAATTCTTATCTCTTTAATAAAGAGTAATTATATTTTAATTTAATTTAAATATACTTAAATTAAACCGAAATGAATTAATAGGTTATACTTTAAAACACGAATGGTTTCTAGGGATAATCATGATAATCGATGGAAAAAAATCATAAAAAAGACCAATATTATAATACATAAGTCAGATAATAAAAGATCAAGGATGTCATTCATATCAAGAATTGAATAGAAAGGCAACTGATAGAGAATAATGGAAGTTGTTGCAAGCCCATCATTAGATTGAATACTGCATAAGAAGAAAAAACCATAGAATTAATTATGTACAATAATATTAAGATTATTTTCAAAAAAAATATCAAATGTTTAGGGAGGCCAAAATTTAAGGAAACTTATTTTTATTGTTTATTTTTGTCTATCTAATTAGACATTTGTTTTATGGTGATATAGTAAATAAATTACTTTGTTTAATTGTTTAAGTTTTTAGTCACATATATATAATAAGAAAATACATCTAAAAATGGTAAAACTTCGTATTTTTAAACAATAATTTACCGTGTTAAATATTTTTTTAGTAAATGTGTCTATAGGGCTTATTACATTCAAATTCTATCTAGTTTGGCGATGATTTAGTTATATCTCAAGTACACTTGAAAAATTACTTAAGTTAATATATATTTGAAGTTAAACTATATTAATAGATAACATGTCAAATGTTTTATCAATAGAATTAAAAATCGTCAAAATAAATACTTTATTTCTTTTTAGTGGTTTAACATAATTAAAAAACACATTGCAGTCAAATCGTATTTGTTCGGGACATAATCAATCAATAAATAAATTACTATTGTCAGAAAAATGTATAGCTACAAACAGGTAATTGAATTGTGTGCCGACAGTAATCATATAAAGCGAATAAATAACACTAGGTTCGGGGAATCCATTTTATAATATTGCAAGTATTTTGGTACGCTATGCGAATCGATAAGCATGTTCTTTGAATTTTCAGACATTTTTTCATATCGAAATAATCTTAACGTTAACTTGTATGAACTATTTCAACGAAAACTATTAACAATATAAACACCCAACAAAATACTAGGTAAAAAACATATTGTGTTGGTATTTAAAAAATAATCTGATTACGTAATTACTATAAATGCTATAACAAAGCTTTGGAAATATAAAGAGATCATTATCATAGGCAGTTTGAGACTGCTGGAATTAATAGCACAAAATAATTTGTTTTTTAACAATTCGTTGATTGACTAAAATATTGCATAGGTATTAGCTGATAACTCAAAATTGTCCTGATTTTTAATACTTTAGAATACATTAAACTCTATGTAAAAGTAAATTTTTTTTTTACAAATTTCTAACAAATTGGAATTGTTTCCATCAACTACTATAAAATTTATGAATTGACATGAACCTCGTCGATTTCCAATAATTTTTTAAATTATTGTCGTTATTAAATTTTTTGGGTAGATATTAGTAAATAACTAGTCTGTTTAAGACGAAAATATTCTTACATACTTTGTAATATAATTTTATTTCTTTATAATCTTCCTCTCTGGGTTCTTATTTTTTTAAAGCGCTTTAAAATATAATTAATGATTTTTATTTTATTTCAACTTAGGACACCTTTTAAAAATGTTATTCTGGTTAAATAGCTATCTAAGTTTAACATATAAATCTAGAAATCAATCATGATAGATATAATGTCTTATTATATTTATATTTATGTATAAAATTCAGTAATCGTTAAAAAAATATATTATTTAATGTCTTTCATAATATCTAAGTGTCCTTTTTTATTTTTCCAAAGTACATCAAATGTATTGGAAGTTCAATACCAGTTTTTTTGTCTTTCCTAAAATGTAGAGATCTCTAAAAATTACCGCTGATTACTAATGACTACAATTTAATATTTTTTTTTGTTTAGACCAGACACTACCAAAATAATTAATATAATTTTAATTCAACAATTTTTTATACAGTGAAATTTAAAAAAAGTTTTAATTTAAAAATATATAAAAACGCCAAAAATAATACACGTGTTTGTATTGAGTCGACATACATAAATTATTTTATCGTTGGGACACTAAGGATGACGTGTCTGACCTACAATATAAGAAAAATTACTCTCTTGAAGTTGACTATCGTCACTTTTAAACAATTCAAAAGTTGTAGACATTCTTTAGTAATTACATATATTATATTTAAATATTTCCTTATTACTATTAAAAAAAAAAATGTTAAAATAGATGTAATAAAATATAATATTTTCAAAAGATTTTGGTTATTTTTGACATAGGCAATGACATTAATACTTCATTGGAAGATAAATAAATTTGTTTGAAATAAAATTATATATATGTATCATGCAACACGACATAATTGTTCAATAGAAGTCTAGTATTGAGATTGTAAATAAATTAAAATGAGGATCTCTGTCCTATTAAACAAATTTATTTTCAATTAATTTCAATAGCGGGGGTTAATTAGTTATTGCCGTATAAAGTAAGATATTTGTTGATTTGTTTTTCATGTGTTAAGTAATGTTATAGAATATTAAACATTGGTATAATATTTCATGTTATTGATTTATAGCTAAACGATAGGTAAAACAAAACATAAATAAATATCTATACTCAACATTTTAATAGAAAATTAAACAATTTCGAAAGTGTTATGTTATTTTACTAGTTGATCTTAGTTTAACGAAGACTATTTTTTTATGCCGCTATTAGTTAAACTGGTAAGGTCTAATTATTTTAATAATATAATAAAAAAAAAATTATCTATGTAATTTACTTTTAAGAAAATAGTATTATTTTATTCCAAAGAGTTTTATTTAATTTGTAATAACATATCAATCAAAAATGTCAATAATGTATACACATTTTAATATTTAGGTTGATCCAATGAAGTAACATGAATTTACTACAACGGTTTAATAATTTTTCCTTAAATTATTACATGAACTTATCTTCATGAAATAACTGATTAATTTAATTAAATTAGATAAATTGAACTCTTTGTTTTTTTTTTCGAAAAACTGTTATTAGCACAGTGAGTTTAATACATTAAAATAATGCATTAAGACTACAAAATAAATTTACAAAAACAGGTTAAAAAACAAATAATAATTGAAAAATTATAAGACGATAAATGCAACATTGGCGATTGCTTATGAACAACTGTGATTTATTTACGGTATCAAATTTTCACGATCGATTGCAAAACAACAATTAGGAATGATAAAGATGCTAGCAGTAAAGATAAAAGTTCTCGTGGATGCTTCACATTAATCCTCTGACACTCACAGTATATAAATTCAATTTTTCATTTAAAACTCAACATCGCGTAAAAGTAAGTGGGATTAATCACAAGACTGATTAAAGATGTAGCTATTGTAGTTCGGTGATACAACCGGAATGGAACATGCACTGTCAATAGTCGCTAACCATTAGTAACTGTATATGGCGTTGACCATTATTACCATTAACAACATTTATAGTTTGCTACCAGTTGAAATAGTACACAATGTTAATATTGTTGCACTGCGATTGTTTCTAGATACATGACATTGCGTAACAGATATTTCAATCAAACACATACACATTGTTTAATTGTATGTGTTCTATAGTTCATGTGAGTGCGATATCGAGAAATTAAATATCATAATCATGACTATATATAAATAATACATTTAATCAAATTTTTAAAAAGTATCTTAGAATACTGCGTATTTCTTTTTTATGGATGTTATTTTTGAAAGCTATTGTTATTGACCACTAGATTTTTTCTACATAATAATTTTTTGTTTGAGTTTTAGTTATTTCTTGATTTATAAGTACCTAAATATTTTCAAGGTCTACCCATCGTCCTTTATTAGGGAACAAACTTAATTTTTGATGGAATGTATATATTTAAGTTTAAATGTTATAAAATGACTAAGAATATGAATAATCGATAAAAACTTTTCAGTTATTATTTCAGAATTGATAAACGTTTTTATACCTACGTATGAGTAGGTATAAAAACAAAGAAACGAATAACAAAACGTGCTGCTCGTCATCAGTCTACTTTTAAAAATATTATTACCTTCCAAAATACGGGTTCAAAAGTTATAAACTAGTCATTTTATTAATTGGATTATTTTTCAACATTGTTTGCTTATAAAATATGCAGTTGTAAATTGTTAAAATGTAAGTTAATTTTTCAATTTTAATTATTAACAAATTTTTACTAAAACTTATTATTTTTAATAAAAATTTAACATTTGAGACATTAAAAAAAAAAAAAGGTACCAAGTTCAAAAAAATAATTTTTTTGGTTTTTCTTAAAAAACATAGGAATTATGTGTGTATATATCAAGTTGAAAAAAAAAATAAAATTTATTTATAGAATAAAAAGTATACTAAAACTAAAATGAAGCATGTCATTAACACACGCAGTTTAGTTAACTTTTTTCCTTCTACTGTATAATTTAATTTTTGTGACTTAGTACTTTTCTCATGAGAGCACTTCAATTGTATTAGCGTTACTAAATAATACTTTATGTTGAAAAGAAATTAAAATATATTATTACTTTAGTATACTCCTTGTTTATAACCACAACTGCATCGTCGTCCTTATGTTCAATATCAATTAACTAAAAACAAAAATTAAATTAATACATTTTTAATCTATATTCAACGAATAGAATAGAATTAGAATACATAAAATCGATTTTTGAACTGGGTCCTTTTGAATACATAGGACTGAACCAGAGTATGAATTTTTATTTAAAATATATTCTCTATATTACAAATTATTGCATTATTTATTGAATTAAGTTATTTTATAAAATTTCCTTTAATTCTGTTATATTTTGTTCAACTTCTTTTGTATAAACGCAGTTCATTTCAAAGATATATAGAAATTTAAAAGCTTACAAGTTCTTTAAATTCAGTTGACATTTCTGTGTACCATTGAACATATTCTCCTCCAATATGATGTACTAAACGCATAAATTCCCTCATTTCTACGCATAATGGATGGTGTTCGTTGAGTTCAGTTTTTGATGTTCTCAGCCATGTCTGAAAATATACATGACCATTTTAAATTCATAATTTAGAGATAGTGTTTTTTTAGACCATTTGTTTTGGATCATAGTTGCACTTTCTTAAAAAAAAAGAAGAATACGCATAACGTTAATACAAAGTAGGAATATGTAGAATAAATCACATAATCTGACAAAATAAGTTAAATTATGGTAAACTTAATTTTATTGAAATAATTATTACACTAATTATAGTATTATATATCTTATTTTTATTGTCTTATTAATTTTTTTTTGATATTTATATATTTTATTTTTATTATTTATCTTTTTTAATAACAAATTTAATTAAATAATTGTTAAAATGGAAAAAATGAATTAGAACTTTACCATTTGTGAGAATATTCAAACTTACCATGTATACAATCTTAAAATAAAAATTTTGATTTGTTATTTAATCAAAAAACATTTTTTCTTCCAAAAATTAACTATCAATAATAATTTTTGTTTAAAATTTTATTATTAAGCTGTTATAACTGAAATTTTTTTTTTTTTATGAAATGCCTATAGTGTTTTTTTAGCTTCGATGCGAAGCGGAGAAGGTATTAATTTTACTATGATGTGTTTTTTTTTTTTTTTTTTTCTGTTGCCACTTTTTCTCAGCTCTCACTGGACCGATTTCTTTCAAAAATACGTCAAAAGATCACAAATCGTATCTAGTTGAAGACATTACCCTTAAAAATTGAAAAAAATTCCCTCGTTCCCCGCAAATGGAGGAAATATCCAAAAAAATTACAAATTTAAAAATCGCTAATTTTCGAAATTTTTTTTATTTTTTTTCTTAAAACTTCCATAATTTTTTGAAAAATTAACAAATCAACATAATTTTTTTTAAACTAAAACCTTAGATATCTACCTTTCATTTGATATCATTTTTTTGAAAATCTATCGCTTAACCTGCTCATTGGGGGGGATTTAAAATGGCAACTTTTTTACAAAAATTAATTTTTTCAACTTAATTTTTGAAAATGTTCCGGAAAGACTGCGTCCTTTAAACATATATCAAATTAAAGCTTATTTTATGTACTACAAAATGAAAAAAAAAAATTTGTCCCGACACTTTTTTTTCTACATTTAAACGGCTGCCGTAGTTAAAAAAACACTATTTTTGTGTTAAAATTTTCGATTTTCGATTTTAAATTTTCAACTTAAAAATGCTATAACTTTTTGAAAAATGTATATATCAGCACAAATTTTTTTTTTCTAAATACATTATAAGTACATCTTTCATTTGACATACTTTTTATTAAAATTGGACAATTTCCCCTTATATAGGGGGCGTTCAAAACTTAAAATATTGTAAAAAACATAGATCTTTTTCAACTGAACTTTTGAAAATGTTCCGGAAATACTGCGTTCTTTAAACATATATCAAATTAAAGCTTATTTTATGTGCTATCAAATAAAAAAAAAAAATTTGTCCCGAAATCTTATCTTCTATGTGCAAATGGCTGTCGAAAATTTAAAAAAAAATGTAATGTTTGCGATAAAAATGACCTTTTATCGGGATGTTTTTTGTACTTAAAACTGCCATAACTTTTTCAAAAATGAACAAATAAAAATAATATTTTTTTGTATTGAAACCTTAGATATTTCCCTTTCATTTGATATAATTTTTTTTGAAAATCTAACACTTATTCTGCTCATTGAGGGGATTTAAAATAGTAACTTTTTTAAAAAAAATAACTTTTTCAACTTAATTTTTGAAAATGTTCCGGAAATACTGCGTCCTTTAAACATATATAAAATTAAAGCTTATTTTATGTACTAAAAAATGAAAAAAAAAAATTTGTCCCGACGACCTATCTTCTATACGCAAATAGCTACCATATTCAAAAATATGCTATTTTTGTATGAAAATTATAGGTTTTGTATTTTATTTTAATAGAAGTTGATGTTGCTTTTGGAATAATCCACCAATTTTTAAAAATTAAACACTATCTACAGATTTGCATCGAAGCGTTTCTTATGATAGTGATTTTAATCACTGTCAGATTAAATCTATACTGAACCCAACTATGCAATGTCTCCACTATGCCGCGACCCCACTGTGCTACCATTTTTTTTATAAAATACATTGCTGTTTATTTGGTTGCAATTAACAATCAACTTCTTATATTATAATAATAATGAATAGTGATAAATAATGAATAGTTTTGTTAGAATCAAATTGAAATATTTAAAATATTCAGTATATGGTTAAGTAAATTCATACAAGTACTTCATAACATTTTCTATCGATTGTAATATTTTAAAATTTAATGATCTTAAATTTTAACATACCTACTAACTTTATTTTACTTATTAACAGATTATTATTGTAATTAGTTCATTTTACTGATTTCGTGATGAAACGTATTAACTGATTTAAAATTTAAAATTCCCATTAATAAAATATTTTTTGATTAATTATAAGAAATGTAAACTAAATACAGAGGCGCACATTTTAGAAACTTGGAGGGGCTTATTCCTTCCAATATTTCAGAAAAAAATGGTTAAATATATTGCATATTATTCATATTAGTAATGTAATATGCATTAAATTACTTACTTCGAATAGTATTAAAATACTCTTATGCCAAGGGGTTATAGCCTTAGGAATATCACCTCCATGTACAAATCCTACGCTGTCTCTTCCCCTTGATCTGTCACTTGATAGCATGGAACTTCTTCTGCTATTATATGTATTACCGGAACCAGAAGAAACAGCAGCCATACAACTCATGTTAGGTCCTATGGATGGATTCACACCGCTACTGCTGATAATATATGGCGATGAATCGTTACCAACATTTATACCGGAATATATAGATGATGCTTGATTAGATATTACCATTGGCCCACATGGGCCGTGGTATTCTGTCTATGAATTAAATATTAACAAAAATAAATCTTATGCTACAGCAAAATTATCTGATCAAACATTTAACTTATAAGAAATGTTTAAAATGCTTATTTAATTTGGCATGGCCAGTGATAACATTATTTCATGCCAGTTAAGTAATTACTAATAATATTTAATTGCTATCGTTTCAGTGTCTACTGTGGTAAAAAATTAACTAATTAATAAAATGAAATATAAATTACAAGTTCCATAACCCCATTTCTATATTTTATTAACTTTTGAAAGTGTCATAGCATTAAAAATTAAAATACCTGAAATCCTAAGGTGCCGGCAGAACGTCCTCTAGGTAAACGACCGGTGAACGGTAAAGATTCGGGCAGGGTCAAATATCGGCTAGATTCATAAGTGACTCTAGGCATGGATCTTGATCGAGGTCTATTTAGTGGAGCAAACTCGGAAGCTGTCCCCCCAAAACCTGATTCTATAGGATATCTTCTCGTAAGAATATGACTCGGAGAATCTAAGTCAGGTAAATTTTGTAATTGTTTTTGGAATGCGAGAATCTCTTGTTCTGGAGTTTGTTGGTAAGTGTCAGTCCTCACCTATATGTCGTAATTTAAAAATGTATTGAACACAATTTAATATTATGAAATTTTGTGATATTTTAGTAACTTAAACCTTTTTTGGGAAAATAAAATTGTTTAGCTAAAATAAATATAATATTGGAAAAAAAAATTTGATTTTTTTTTATCACACATATTTTTTTATTTATTAGCTATTAATTACTTTTTAGGATCATTCCTTATAACTATAATGGTGACGACAACTTAATTTTTTTAAATAGTAAGATGCATATTTAATCAACTTATAAAATCAAAAATTATCTAATTAAGGAAATTACATGTCGATAACAACTTTTGGTCCAATATTTAAGAAATGATTAAAAATTTACAATAATGATTGGAAGGAGGCCGTACTCTTCATCCCGCCTAGATATAAAAATAACTTCCGAAGTACTGATCAAAAAGTTGGATTTAAATTTTTTAATTAAATTATTTTGTATTTAAGTTAACTAAATATGTTAATATTTAAATATTAAAGTTGCCACCCCTTTAAGTTATAAGTAATGGTCCTAAAAGTAATTATTAACTAATAAATTATTTTTTATAAAAATTTTAATGGATTAATAACAATTTTAGAACGCGAAATTACTGTGTTACAAAAATTAAATACATAGAGTAGATATGTAGCACTAGCAAAGTATATATTATTAATATTGTAGCTCAATAAGTACTCATCTTAAAATTGTTATTGAACCGTTCAATTTTTATAAAAAAAAAGGCTAAAAAATGAACTTATTGAAATTTCAAAAAAAAAAAAAATTAATGTTTATTCTTATTAATTAAATATAAATAATAAAAATAAGTTCTTAACGTAGTATAGAAATTTATAAGTTATTAAAAAAAAAATTAATTCAAATTACTTGGTAGATCAAAAGTAAGTAAATTTGTCAATACATTATTATACATACATATATGTTAAATATATTTCATTTAAATTAATCACAGCATTCTATGTACATATAAATATACTATGAGATAAAGGGAATATATTAAATTGGGAAAACTTAAAAAAAAATTACAATAGGAAATAGGTTTCATGAAGATATTCATTTTCATTGAATTAGAAAATAGCACAACAGTCTGAATTTAATATATTATGAATCATACATAATTAGTTTTGCACATTATTTCTTTAATAACTACCTTTGAAATATTGGCTTGTGATTTAGACCGTTCACTATTATTGGTACGTATGTTTGATAGTTTAAATGATTGTCTTTTCCTTGGCAATGGAAAAAAATTACTGTTATTCGTATTCGTCTGAGGTTTTGTTGAAGTTAAGGAAACTATGAACAAAAAATTAAATACAATATAAGTTATAAATTGTACTACTAAATAAATGGGACAATCATTACTTCTAAAATTACATATTTATATATATATATATATAAAGGTATTTCTTTTAATTCTAGAGACTTCATTTCTATTAAAATAATAATCATGTTAAGAAAATAATTTTTAATTCCTTATATTCCTTAATTATCAGTCACTGATTAATTTTTTAATTTATCCTTTATATCTTAAAATTGTGTCAACTTTATTTTTATTTATTTTATTTTTAACGCCAACTATTTAAGTCTATGCTTTGTTATTCAAAATGGTACCATCTTAATTTTTTTAAATAAAAACATATATATATATATATATATGTGATACGACCTAATGTTTCATACAAGAATTGTTTAAAATTAAATTTTACGAAATAAAAGTAATAAGAACAAATTTCATTGAACCGATCGTTTTATTGCTATAGATGAAATAGCTCGATCATATTACTATGGTCATATTATTATGGTTCGTCATATGTGATGAAATATTCGTAAATAGGCTAATTTCGGTAATTTTACGAAATGTTATGTATTTTGACATTTTTCTAGAAAACTAATGATTTTAAAAGAAAAACTGTAAGGATTTAATTTATACAAAACAATTAAATCTACAATTTAGTTTCAATATTTTTTTTTTGCGAGAGCGCTAATTTACGAGTTAATTGCTAAAAACTAAAAAAGTAACCCTTTTGGCCGATTTTCAACCCCAAGTCAGCACGGGTCAAACTTATCTGATCGGCCTAAATTTTTTTGTAGCCACTTTTTATATGTATACACACAAATTTGGGTGGTGATCCCGAAGAATTTCCAAAATTTTCAAAATAAGGGACATCCTAATATATATATATATATGAAGAGTGAATGTGTCAAACGTTCTATGTGCCAAAAAAATATTTGTTCAGAAAACACAAAAAACAATGGTATAATGGGCATGTCTCACAGAACGAACACCATCTATGAACGCAATTTTGTACAAGTAAAAAATTTAATTGACATTTGAAACATATACAAGATTGTGGCCTTTGGCACATAGAACGTTTGACACATTCGCTCTTCATATATACTCGTTAGGATGGTAAAAGCATGTATGCAAAACTTAAGGTGCAACGTTAAGTTCAACTCGGTAATATCAGAGGAAATTATAGTGAACAAAGGAGTAAAACACAGAGATGCTCTGTCTCCGATCTTATTTAACATTGCGTGGAATCGGTAGTTAGAGAAGTACTGCAAAGCGAGCCACAAGGTTTGAAAAAAAAATATTTTTGGCCGCGTACGCAGATGACATAGTTGTAATAACAGAGACAGAGGATAGTCTCAAGAGAACAACTGAAATTTTAATTGATGCAGCGAAAAAGATTGGACTTATTATTAATGAAAACAAAACCAAATTCATGATTATATCAGGGAGAGATCATCCACAAAATGCTATAACAATAAAAGATTTGTCATTTGAAAGAGTTCGAAACTTCAAGTACTTAGGAGTAAATATAAACTCGCAGACAGATAGCCACGAAGTAATCCAAATGTTATTTTTCACTAGTCCAGTCATTTAAGTCTAAAATATTATCAAGAAAAACAAAAATTCGATAGTAAAATCATTGTTAGACCAATTGTACTATATGCCTGTGAGGCATGAGCGTCTACCAAGTCTGACGAAAACAAATTAATGATTTTCGAAAGGAAAATCCTGCGAAAAATATTCAAGCCGAAAAGAAATGACGAAGGCTATGAGATAAGATCAAATAGAGAACTTAATGCTTTATTTAACGAGTCCAATATAGTTTCCACTGTCAAGAGCCTGAGGATAAGGTGGGCCGGTCACACCTGGAAAGCAGAGGACCAATTTATATCGACCATCACGAAATGGAAGCCAAAGAAACGTAGACCGAAAAGAAGGCCTAGACAACGATGGGATGACCCAGTCAAGGAAGATCTCAGTATGCTAGGAGTACGTAACGGAGAAGAACTGTCAGTATCAGAGAAGCATGGAAGAAGATAGTGGAAGCGGCAATAAGCCTAAATGACCTGGATTAAACCTTAAAAAAAAAAAATATATATATATATATAACCAACTTAAAAAGTAGAAAATTATATAGTTGAAAAAATTATTGGTTGATAACAACTTTTGAACATTACTTCAATAGCTATAAAACATTTACAGTGGCGAATGAAGTGTAGACAAGATATATCTAATGATATAAATAGATATACTTTAATCTATATTTTAAATTAAACCGAGAGACTAGCATTAAAAGGATCACCGTGAATGTTAAAATTATTTATTTAGCAGGTATGATATTTAATTATTTAGTGAAATATTTATTTTAATTAAAAATAATTATTTTACTAATTAAGAAAACAAATTTTCATATTTTAAAAAGATAAAATAATAATAATTATTGTTTTATAATAACTATATAATTGTGATACAATTTTTATATCACAATATAAATTTAAATGTCAATTAAATTTCAAAAATTATGGAAAAAATTGATGCGAAGTAAAAACAGTTTTTTTTCAATAAAATAGGAATTATAATTAAAAGTTATAATAATCAATTTAGAAAGTATTAGAAGAAGCACAATTTTAAACTAGTAACAATTAGTCACTAGTAGAATGCTTTCTTCATCACATTGTATTTCATAAAATTATTTTAGGTAACTAAATTATACAGAGTGTTCAGTAAGTAAGGAAACAGGTAAATTGTTACAAACAATGAGAACAATAGAAACTCATTTCCTTACTTACTCAACACCTTATATATTGATTATATATTTGTGATTTAGAAAATAATATATGGTAATGTAAATTGCAATTTTAAATTATAACTGACCACAAGAGTTTCGGTATTCTTCGCTTTCCATATCAGGACTCATTGAGTTATCTTTAAACAAATCATGTCTTATAATATGTGAAAAAGCATTCACTGTAGCTTGGATAGCTGGTTCGATTCCAAAGCCACCTGTACTGCTTGAGCTACTTCTACGGCGACGAAATTGAGAGCTACTTGATTTTACTTTAACTTTTGAAGTGGTGTCTAACTGATCGTATCCATAACATTTTGTTGTATCCAAACTTAAATTGAACTATTAAATTAAAAATGTCATCCATAATAAGAAATTTTTAAATATAAAATTTAAGTCTTTTCACGATTGAGATTTCTTTAGTATTTACCAAACAAAAAATTCTGTACTCTTAGCAGAAGATAACTTACTATAAGTACACGCTATTTTGTAATATGAAAAAATGAATATAAAACAAGCAAATACTAAAAAAAAATCAACAATTAGCTGACGTTAAAAAATTATATTTCAGGTTATTATCAATTAACATGAAGATTTACTCTTTTTCTGCGAGTGCTTGCATTAGTATCTGTCGAAGAAGCCCGACTTCTTGGTTTTTTGGGTCCCATTTGATCTTGCGCAGACATTGATGTTATGCTTGAACTATTTTTTGGATATACTGGCGTAGTGATCAACCGATGAGCAAGTAATCTGATCAATAGTATAGGATCAATCACACTTGCAGCACACGCGACAAACATTTGAACAAATAGCGATGAATGCACATCGGTTGGATACCTTCGTTCAAGTGGTTTTTCTAAAATATTGATTGTATAATATATTATTTTATAAAAATTATACAAACATATAATAAAAACTAAAAATTTCGTTAATAAATGTTTTTTAATAATACATTTAACCATAAACTTGAATAAGTTTAAGCATAGATGAACTTTGTTTGGACGAAATTACCTAATTTTAGGTAATCAGTAATTTTTTGGAAAAATAATATATTTTTCGCATTATATAATAAAAAAAAAAAATAGTGAAGCTTTTTAAATAGGTAAACATTTAAAGTTAAAAGTATTAGTTAAAAATATCAGATATTATCACAATGTACATTGTGTGTTGAAATTTAATATTTAACGTATAAAAGTTTTTCTCACTCATAAAATGTTAAGACTTAAAAGTAGAACTTTTTCAAATATATATAATTCTACAAAAGTTTTTTACATGAAAATTATAAGAATGATAAAAATGATTTTATTGTTTAAGAGAAAAAATCCAAGTATAAAAATGTCTATTATCTAAAGTTACCTAAAAAATAAAAAATCATCATTTGATAATTTGTATGTTAAATATATCATGAGAAATTAAAAATTTTTAGCACTGAACACATTATTAGAATATAGAAAAAATTTAAAATTACAAACACACTAAATAAATTTTATGAACAAACCGGTTTTTTCCAGAAGACTGTATGATTTACCATTTAATGCCCAATGCAACGTGAATATTTCAGTAGTAGTAGTAGTAGTTTGATTCAGAGAATTCTACAAAAATATAAACGATATACAGGGTGTTCAGTAAGTCAGGAAACGGGTATCTATTGTTCTCATTGTTTGTAACAATAAGAACAATAGATACCCGTTTCCTGACTTACTGAACACCCTGTATAATTGTTCCATCACATGACAAATTTACTTCATAATTTAACATTATTTTGAATGTTTCTACTTGACGTATAGGCAATGTCTAACTGACTAAAAACTTACGTGTAATTACTGTATTATAAATGGTAAATATACCATCAAGTTCATATATAAAAATGAATTTTTTCAAAATTTAATGATATAGAAGATTTTTTGTGAATAACTAAAGTTGTGGGATAACATGGTAAAAAATAATCAGTTTAAAAAAATTGATAAAAACAATTCAACATTGTTAATGGTTTTGGCGTGGTGGATTCCTGATAATAATTTCAAATTAATATCATTTAATATAATATTTTTATAAATACAATAGTACATCATATTTTTAAGTTGTTTCTTAAAATATTCTAATTACTCCTTTTATTAATTTTTATTATAAGTTCGAGATGTTAAAGCATAATTTTGTATTCTATACAAAGAACATTTTGAATGTTCACAATTAAGATACATCATGCTCAATTTATTTTTTTGAATTAATTTTTCGTGGAAAATGAACACTGCACGCTCATTAATTAGATCACTAGGTTATTTAAACAAATAATTCATTTATTTATCTTAAAATTTAATCAAAAACGTTTTACTCATATAAGATGATTATAATTAAAATAATATTGTAGCGTTTCAATAAACAACACTTGTAGTTATTTTGTTTCGCCTAGATTACTTAGAAAAACGAGTGATTTAAAAGTAATTTTTTAATCAAATCATTATAAAATGTTCAAAATACATTAAAATTATTGTATGATAATATGCATTAATCTGTTAGGCTATAATAAATGTTCATATTTTCGTCAACATAATGTTAAAATAAACATTCTAAAGTTGTTATTATAATACAATTACTAAATTTTTGTAATATCCTTAATCTTATGGAAAGGGGGACTGATTCATTCATTCCTTTTATTTTTTGTGAAAATAGTAACTTGCATTTTAATGTATGCAGGTTGATTAATTAATGATTGACCACTAGATTTCTTTTACACAATAATAATTTTGTAAAGAATTTTTTGTTTGAGTTTTAGTTATTTCTTGATTTATAAATACCTAAATATTTTCAAGGTCTACCCATCATCCTTTATAAGGGAACAAACTTAATTTTTTTATGGAAAGTATATATTTATATATTTATATTTTTATAAGTTTATATGTTATAAAATGACTAAGAATATGAATAATCAATAAAACTTTTCAGTAATTATTTTAGAATTTATTAACGACTTTATACCTAGGTGTGAGGAGGAGCTTAACACAGTAATGCATAATGATAAAAAATAACAAAACCGGCTGCTCTCCATTTGTCCACTTTTAAAAATATTATTAATTTCCAAAATACGGGTTCAAAAGTTATAAACTAGTCATTTTATTAATTGGATGATTTTTCAACATTGTTTGCTTATAAAATATGCAGTTGTAAATTGTTAAATTGTTAAAAGTTAATTTTTCAATTTTAATTATTAACAAATTTTTACTAAAACTTATTATTTTTAACTAGTAATTCTATTAATTGGATTACATTCTAAGTGGATAACAATAAATTAATCATTTTGTATACTTATATAATTTAGAATTATTTATTTAACTATTCTAAAAATATGAACATTTTAGGTAAAATATTAATTAAAAAAGTTTATTTTATTTTACAAAAAAAAGAACATTGTTATATTATCACTGTATTTTACTTCGTTTTTAAGAAGTTTTCTGTTAAAAAATAAAATCCCGACAGAATACATAAAACACGTGACGCTCCACAACTACCTGTTGTTATGTACATAACTCGTAAACGTTTACAACATCAGTACTAATAGTCTGTTAAGATGAATAATAACAGTGTTTAATTTTTTGTTTATAAATACAATGGAAATAAAAATTATTGGAATTAATAAAATATGATTGTGAATAATTAAACTTTAATGTGTACTTCATGTCATGTAATAATTAATAATGTAATCATAAATCATTATGAAATAAATTTAAATTGGAAAATATTTTTATTTTATTTTTTTAATCACTTACCTCAATTTCTTTCAATACACTTGCTATTGCCGTTTCAATTGAAACTCCTAGCAATTTACTTCGATCCAAAGACAACACGTAACTAGGTGTCATTGATGTCATTGCAATATAGCTATCCTCGTGAGTATTCATTAATGGGGGATGCGCTGGCATATCTATGTGTAACGAATATTAATATAAAATATTAACAATTTTTTAATGATTGTGAAGTAGTTTTTAAAAATTATATTTTGTTAGCATTTTTATAAATATTAATGTTAAATAATATTTTGACAAATTATTATTTATTAATGATATAATTCTAACCATCTTTATCATTTGATTGATACAATAAATCTTTAAGGGCAGAAATAGAAAAATTGTTCAACGGTAAGAGTTTGTAAATAAGAAATTCAGAATATTCTTCCATGTCAAGTAAGTCGTCTGGAGTTCAATATGGTAATGAAGAAGCACAGACTTAGTCAACGTTTAATCCGAACAAAATCATTGGACTACCCCAATGCACTCCCAAATCATAATTTTACCTGCGCGTTTCACTCTGATGTCGCTATAAGTTTGGTATATGTAGTACTCTTTTTTAGATATAGTTTTATTTTTCAATAAAATAGTGTTAAATAGCATCCAGGATAAAAATATGGCCTAAATGTCTAATTTTACAACCATGGGTGATAAAATTTCATAGGTTAAAAATTTGGTCTTCTCTGTTTATTTAAGAAAATTTTGAAAAACTTACTCGTGTATTTTTTATAGCTACGGCATTGATTAAATACTATAGATGATTGATATATCGTTAACCACCAAATTTCTTCTAAAATAATAATAATTTTGAGAATTTTTTTTTTATTTATAAATTTAATAAATACTACTATTTAGATTTATGTTTCTTAAAAGGATACTATCATAATTTTTTTTAATGAAAACGTACACAATTAATTTGGGTTTTTATTAGATAGTAACCTAAATGAAAATGGTTGGTTGATAATAGATTGCGGACTAGTATATCTCAAGTTACTAATACATTTATACTTTAGCAAGAGAAGGAATATAATGTTAAATAATAAAAATAATATAGCTCTCACCTCACTACTTTTAAAAATATTAATAATTTTCAAAATACTGGGTTAAAAGTTCGTCGGTAAAGTATTAGAGGAACGTACCAACAAAAAAAAATTAATTTTTTAATCTGAATTATTTAGTTTTTTTTATAGAATTGAATATTACAACGATAGAATTCTTTAAATAGGAATTTACAACTTTATAACCTCTAAATTTAAATGATTTAATGACGTGTTGTTATTGACCTTTCATTTTCTTAATGGGATCAATTTTCTATCATTTAAGCTCGCAAAGTATGTATATATATATAGAGTAGTCCTTAAAAATATTTAACCACTAGAAAAATTGAAAAATAAATATTTATTAAGTAACCTAAAAATATTTCTAAAAATTATTATTATTTAGATAAAATCTAGTGGTCAACTTAAATCAATCACCATGTATACAGAATATAAGAGTTCTTCTGTAACTTATGTTACAACTAACATTTAGTTTTTTTTTTTTTAATAATTTATGATTAATAGTTTTATTTATTAGTATTTATTTTTGATAATAATAGAAAAACAATTTTTTTGATTTAACTTTTTTCAAAATTTTAAAATATCTAATTTTTAGTATTTTGCTTAAAAAATTAATGAAATGAATCGATAATTAATTTAGGAGAAATATTTATAGAGTTGCAAGCATTTTAATACAATTTTATTTTTAGTAAAATTCGTACTTAATTATTTGACCACCACTGATCTGTGGTCAAATAATTTTATTCGTATCAATTTACACCACTAGTAAAATATTTACAAGTATTGCTAAGAATCATAAAATATTTGTTTAGAAAAATGAATTGATGAAATATGTAAAACATTTAGCTGCCCCATGTTTATTCACTGCCCCAAGCGGCGAAATATAACGGTTATATCATAAAATGATAAGTAAGTAAAACCAATAGTGAATATGAAAACTTCTTTGCTGCACTATTCATTCAAAATTCACAACTTTCAATTAATATCGATGAATAAATTATACGATTATAGAATTTGAAGTGGCTATACTCCTGCCTAGGCTTTCTAAATTGTAATGGTCATGTTTTTGACATTTTTTAAATTTTATTCTTAAAACAGCCATAATTTTTAAAAAAATGAACTAATTAAAATAATTTTTTTTTTATATTAAAACCTTAGATATATCCCTTTCATTTGATATACATTTTTCCAAAATCTGACCTACTTTATCTACCCTCAGAAGGGAATTCAAAATAGCAACTTATGCACAAAAATTAAAATTTTTCAACATAAGTTTTGAAAATGTTCCAGAAATACTCCAAAATTTAATCATATGTTAAAATAAAGCTTATTTCATATATTAGTAGTTAAAAAAAAAAACTTTCCTCGTTCATTGCTATTGGCTGCCATAGTTAAAAACCAGCACAAGGGGGTCGCGGCACAGTGGTGATAATGATATCTGACAGTGATTAAAATCATTATTATAGAAAACGTTTCGATGCAAATCTTTACATAGTATTTAATTTAAAAAAATTTGTGGATTATTCCAAAAGGTATAGGATCTGTTATTTCCTTATTAATTACTGATTAAGATAAAGTATGTCGAATAAAAAAAGAATCCATACACTTTTCAATAAGTTATACCATTATAATGTTAAAAATAAAATCGAGAATTTTCACATAAAAATAGCATTCGGTAGCTACTTTCACAGTAAAGACAACATAAAGTCAGACATTTTTTTTTTCATAATAAAGTGCATTATATTAGCTTTAATTTAAGATATATATAAAAGTGTCAGACTTTCCGAAGCACTTTCAAAAGTTAAATTTTTGTAAAAAAGTTGTCATTTTAAATCACCCCTAAGGACAGGTAAAGGGTCAGATTTATAAAAAAAAATACCAAATGAAAGGTGAAACATCATACATCTATATATATATATATATATTAATTTGGTTATTTTTATAAAAGTTATGGCAGTTTTAAGTAAAAAAAAAACCCAGTGCAGAGGGGTCGTGGCACAGTGGTGACGTGCATAGTTGTATCAAGTATAATGATATCTGACAATGATTAAATTCACTATCAAAAAATAACGCTTCGATGCAAATCTTTAGATAGTGTTTAATTTAAAAAAAATGGTGGATTATTCCAAAAGCTGCATGATCTGTTATTTCCTTATTAATATCCTGATCAAGATAAAGTATGTCGAATGAAAAAGGTATATAAATATTATTTCTCATAAAAAAATTGTATTGATCCATACACTTTTCAATAAGTTATAGCACAATAAAGTAAAAAATAAAATAGAGCATTTTCACACAAAAATAGCATTCGGTAGCAAATGATAGGTAAAGACATCATGCATCTATAAAAAAAAGAATTATATTTTCACCATGAAGACAAGTCTAGAGGTCAAATTTCTTTTTTTAAAAATAAATTATATTACATAAGCTTTAATTTAAAGTATAGATATAGGTGTCAGTATTTTTGGAATACTTTCAAAAATTAAATTGAAAATGCTCTAGTTTTAATACGCATATTTAAAGTTTTGACCCTCCTTCTATCATGGGGAATGATCCGATTTACAATAAAAATGTGTCAGATGAAAGGGGTATATAAAAATTTATTGTAAAAAAATAATAATATTGATCCATACATTTTTCAAAAAGTTATAACATAAGTTAAAAATGTAAAAAGTAAAATCGAGAATTTTTACACAAAAATAGCATTTGGTAACTATTTTCATTATGAAGACAAAATGAATTCCGAAATTTTTTTTTCCATAATAAAGTAAATTACATAAGCTTTAATTTAAAGTATATATAAAAGTGTCAGTCTTTCCGGAACATTTTCAAAAGTTAATTTTTTGTGAAAAAATTACCATTTTGAAACCCTTCCTGTGGGCTGGTAAAGGGTCAAATGTTCACAAAAATATATAAAATGATAAGTAAATACCTAAGGTATCTATAAAAAAAAATTATATTGATTTGGTCATTTTTAAAAAGTTAGTGCAATTTTAAGTAAAAAAATTTTTAAAAATGTCGAAAATTAGCAATTTTTAAATTTGTAATTTTTGGGGGGATTTCTCCCGTTTACGGTGAACAAGGGAAGTTTTTTCAATTTTTGCGGGTAATGTCTTCGACTAGATACGATTTGTAATTCATTTAACATATTGTTCAACAAAATCGGTCCAGCAAGAGCTGAGATTGAGCGTTTAAAGACACAAAAAAAATAATAATAAAAAAAAAAAACACATCATAGTAAAACATGCTAAAAGCATGATATGTGTTGTGTTCAAATTTTAGTTTTGTTTATTTTAAAATACTGCCATAGTTATGAGTCTACCAATTTTTATAACATTTACATGAATTTAACTTATATTAAATATAAATTAAAATTTATTTTGATTATTTTTCCTCTTCAAAGTAAGAAAAAAAAGCTCCTTTGAATTTTTGAACTAGTTTAAATTATTATTTTTAGCTAAAATTTCATGTAATGCACGTTGGCTGCATCAAAAATAATGCAGTCTTCTACGCTCGGATTACGAATTCTTTTTGTGATGGAAATAAAATTCCAAGTTCATTTGATTTTTATCTCATTTAGATTGTATAACTTCAATGAATATCAAGGACACCACCACTGTAATGAAAAGTGAATTTCTTATTCATATTAAAATATTTTACTATATGGTAGTATTTTTTTTGTGTTTGTCATTCATTTTTCTCAATTCTCAATTGATTTTTTTAAACAATTAGTGTCTAGTTAAAGATTCTTCTTGCTTTTGAAATAATCTACCAATCTCTTAAAATTAAACACTATCTACAAATTTGCATTGAAGCATTTCTTATGATGTTATTTTAATCACTGTCAGATATCATCTATACTTTATCCAACTATACCACGACCCCCTTGCTACCGTTTTGTTAATCAGCATTCTTTGTGTGTGGTCACTAATCTTTTAACTAAGTCTACTGAAGCATAACAATAAAACGTACCTTGAAACATATCAAATATTGAAAACGTTATCCTATACGAGAAGCCCAAATAAACCAAAATTTTGGCCGCATGATATTTTACGTATCGACCATACTTGGAGCTATGATTAGTATAGTACCATTCATCCGATGGCAATAATAACTGATTAAGAACATTGGGAATGTCGCGGTCAATCAAGTCTTGATGATGTTTAGTATTTAATGCGACAGAAGCGACTATTTGCAACACCAACACAAGCAGTTGCTGTAACAATAATAAACCGTATACAAGAAATATCAAGTACTTTATAAAAATACAGAATTTACTCAAAAAACATTAACAAAATAAGTGCTATTAAATAAGGAAAGGAAAAGGAAAATTTATTCTCTTTAAGGTTCAATCTATTAAACATTTTTAAAACAAGTAGATTAATATAAATATTAAATTTAAAATTAAAAATTAAAAACATTATTCTATAGCTAACTGTAAAACCTTTTATCATTGATTAAATTTATCCAAATCACAATTATAAACGAAAAACAAAACAGTGTTGCACTTTAACGTAAATACTTTCATAGAAATACAAGCATCTACAGTATGTACTTCTTGTGTGAAGACGGTCTGCTTCAAACTATGTTAAGTTTTACACTGTGATTGAATAGTTGTTACATTAATCTGTAATATTAACGTTCTACTAAGGGTATCATGTTGATTCTAGACCAAGGTACAAAAATATGTATATTTTAAATTATATGTTACAGGCGTTTACTTGCTTTTTTGTATTTCTTCAATAAAGAATAATGCATACATTATTATGTATAATCTATAGATGATCAACATTATAATCAGAGTAATTTCTATAAATAAGGCTTATTTATAATATCCATATGCTTATTTAATAAGCATATGGACTAAGTTTTTCATATCAAAATATATTTAAGATTACATTAATTTGATATTTAGTAATAGGGGAAGTTGAGTTAATAAGGAAATCGGATAAAAAAAAATTATATATGATCATCAATACACTAAACTGTTATACTAATCGATATATTATTAATAAATAATTTCATTTTAAGAATATTTCGTTTCAAAAATTACAAAATAAAGAAATGTTGACTATATAAGTATTTTTTAACACAAAATAAATAACATTAAACTCTTAAAATTTGAATTATTGTGAATGAAGAAGATAGACCAATAGAAGTTTATTTCTTAACTAATTTAAAAATGACTCAATGAAATGATAATTACAATTGTACATTTTAATAAACATGAACTTTTAAATACCTCAATAAATTATACTTATGTGAAATTTACATTTAATTTTTCAACTAAAAAAATCTAATGTGTCAAGTATTTTCTTTAAAAAATGTATTTCAATGGTTATCCTAGAACATAACGGAAACTAATTCAGCTAATAAATATCTAATAATTTTATTACGTGTTCTTTTAATAAAATGTTATTAAGATATAACATGACTTTAAAATAATACTAACTAAAATAATAAAACTAACTCATTTTATTTATTTGTAATGTTAGTTTAGTACTACCGCTTTTGCTATCAAATTCTTAGAATAATATAAAATCATAATAAAGATATGGAAAACCTTCTTAAGAGTTATATTCTAAATTTCAACTTATTTTTGTTTAAATAAATACTATATAAACATTTTGTGGTTATATGTTTTCAATTCTTTGGACCATAATAATTTTATATTGTTTGTTCTAGTTTCCAAATAAGTTCATAAAGATAAATAAAAAAATAATTATCATTTTGGTATGAATTTAAATACTTTTAATAAGAATTTCTTTTGATTACATTAAAATTTTTGGTTTTATTCTTTTAAAGTTTTATAAAAAGTCTATATAATAATTTTCCACGACATTTTTAGCATGTGGTAGTTTTATAGAAAAATAAAGGAAAATCTGAGTATTTTAGAGCACGATGTTAACTTTTCAAAATACTAAAATTAAAAAAAAAATAGATCTTACCGGATCATTTGTGTAATCCAATGATGCTGCTAAGATTTTAAGTTGTGGCTCTTTAGCTAATTCACTTTTGACGTTTTCGTTGAGCGACATAAACAAAAGGGTTCTAGCACTTAATAATTGTAAACAGTGGCAACTACACTGACTGGATCTATAAAGTTAAAAAATAGTTTTCGTGTGTATATATAATAGTTAAGTAGTATTGTTCGTTTTATAGTAATTATGGCCTTACCTCTGACTAGGTGTACAAAGACGTTTACTTCCTACTACCCTCTTATAAAGTGTAAGTGAATTATGTAAGACATTTATCACAGATAAAACATTAGTTTTGGATAAAATTCCTGAAAATAATTTAAAATAAATTAAGTAATTTATATTTAAGTCAATTAAATGTATATTGTACCTATAACGCTCTCACTAGGGTTTTCGTCTGTTTTTGACCTACCAGCCTTCGGGTTAAATATTTGGTCCCCTATTAAGTATCTCCACACCGAAGTGAGTTTTATATTCGACCCTACCGGCTTCGTTTTGTCGTTAGGCTCGTCTTCTTTTGTTTTACCCTGGTCACCATCTTCACCACAACGACAAGAGTTCATACTGTTTAAAGAATAATGAGTTTATATTAATGAGATAAAATGCAAATATTAATAAAAAACTGTAGGCACACATTTGATATTAATCTTAGGAATTAATTAAACGGTTTTATACGAAGTAGTTAAATTTATCACTTTTTTAAAATATTGCTTCATTTAAGTAATTTTTCTTTGTTAGTTTTGTGGTAGAAACAATAAAGTTTAAGCATTACATTTCTCAATTATAACTCTAAAAAAATAGCAATTGTACATAATTCAATGTATTTCCACTGAGTTATTATTGTTATGCAAGTAAGTAACTGCTGAAAATACAACGTTGAATAAATAAGTTGTTTATAAAATACAAAAATTGAAAATGTTATTGAATTTTCTTTTGATATCAATATTCATACTACTTAAGTTTTATTAAAGACAATTTATTACTGTTCAATAATACTTACGCAGAAACATAGTGTGGATGGTGTAGATAATTGGATTCGACAACTTCCACATAAGACACTTGATATTGAATAGAAATGTCAATGATCCTGTTGATTATTGCCATTGCGGTAAATTGAACATGATGAATTCCTTGTAATGCGCTCAAGCATACTTTCATTACGGAGCATAACACTACGGTTAGCTCTTCTTTATTACTCTGTTCACCATATTCCATCACAGCCACCTGTTCATTTTTAAGAATTAAAATTAAATTGTTTAAAATTGTTTTGTTAATGATTTGTTAATCTTTTGCTATTGAATTACTTACGTTTAATATTTTTTTTAACAGTGTACATATATGAAGTAACGAATGATCATAGTTAACTTCTAAATATTGGAGTATTCGGACAATATGCTTTTTAAGTCCATTTAAAATAAACCCTAAACATTCGATATTGCCTGATAAATTTGAAATAATTTGAAATTTTCTCTCTATGTTGTACACAGTAGAAACTTTCGAATTTTTATATTTTGTCCCTAAAGAAACAAAAACAAGAAAAATTCAGTAAAAAATAGAAAAGTTAAAATTAAGGAAAATTCATTAAATAAACAAGAGGAAGTAATAATAATTATATTAAAAATACATTTTTTGAAATGTATTTCACAAATTATTTTCTAAATATTAATATGATTTGGTTTCTTTTATTCCAAGTTACAACCTAACGTTTGTTATTGTTATAAATACAAAAATTCACTCTCTTGGGTTTTAATATACTAAAAATATATTTCATAATGTTTACACCAATGCACCATTATAAATCCAAAAATCAACGATTTGTAAAATGATTCATTCATTTAATAATTACAATAACTATGAATAATGAGTTCTTACCGATATCGTTGATTTCTACTTTCTTTGGTTTAAAGCTCTGAGACATTTGTCGCACACGCCCTTCATCCTATAAAATAAATATTTTGTAATTCGTTACAAAAGTATAATATGAAAATATGATTCATTTAAAGCGAATTGAAATTTTATTATTATGCGCTAAAAGAATTTAACGGTTGGTTGAATTTCTTTTAGCTGATTAAAGGCGTAATAAAATATTTAACATATTTTCCTTGTATTAGCATTTAATGATGAGATTACAGAAACAACTAACATTTTTTTTTTGCCCAGAATGAATATTTTTAGTAATTAAAAATCCAGTTTGTGATCTGAACAAAGACCTGTTCGGCCAATAGTTATGCAAGTTCACTCTCCAAGGAATTTCATAAAAATTGTACGGCCTATACATTTTTTATAGCATAACCGGTATTTCGTGTATGTGCTAGGATCATCACCATCGCCATAGTCTCCATATCCCAATTATTTGGGATCGGCTCTGCCTAAACGCGTTGACTGAATTTTATATCGGCTGTCGACCTGACTTAAGCTTATTATGGCTGAGAGAACCAGTATGGGAGTGAGGCGTGTGTCACTGTTAAGATTCCCGTATGGTCACCCATCCGGGAACTATCGGCAAACAGCGCAGCTGAATATCAGTGCTAGCGGCGGCTAAATGATCTAAAGTAAATGCTCTCTGTATCTAGTGCGTGTTGTCTATTGTTAGTAAATTCTATTAATTGTTATTATAATACTCCAATAATTATTGGTTATATTGATTTGTGACTTGTTTAAATTGTATTTATACTTAACTGTCTTTAAATATGTTTTACTCATTTTCCTGACGTTGTTAATTCTAAAGTACAATAATACAGTTAACCGGCGTTATTATTTTGTTTACTCTTCTATTGAGATGCCCTACTACACTTGAGATTGAACAAATAGTTTCTAGTCCAAGTTATTTTTTAAAATTAATTTTAGATGTCTTACATGATAAAATTACTCAATTAAAAACTATTAAAATTGAGACTAAGAAAGTGGATGTTTTTTGGGTGTTAAAGATCAAAAAATGATGTTTGGTATTTTTTAATAATTTAACAAGATAAATTTTGTCGAAATAAATTGAAATCAATTTAAATATTCACTATATCAGAAATTAGGGTACTCAGGCAAAATGAATAATTTTTAATTTTATAAAATAAAATTGTACGAATATAAAATTAATTCCAAATACAGAATTAAAAATTTGAGATAATTTGACAATAATATACCTTATTAAAATATGTTTAGTAATAATGCTTCATACTATTTATATTTGCTCCTAAATTTAATCTTTTCGCTTTGTCCGGTTTCCCTTAACTGAAATAGTTTTGTTGTTGATATCAGTTGGCTTAAATAATAAATATGCAAACGAATAGATAGCGCGGTGCATATAGAATTTGAATTAACGATTTCTACCCTATTCTACAGATAAAAAATAAAATAAAAACGTGTTGCCACACCAAAAATATTTACTTCTTTAGCTTACGAATTATGCTTTAGCATTTCTATTTTTTTTTTATTCTCTTTACTGACCAATAATACCTTTGAAACTTTTCAAGTCTTTCGTTTTATTGAGTAATGAAATTGTCTTTCCTATTTTCAAAACTACCATACAATAGTAATATTTTTCTTAACTTTATTAGTTATTACAACACGTGCAGACCTTACAAATGTTTGTACCCCGTTGTTAAAACAGTTCTATATTTTTTCTAGGTAAAACAAAACAACAGCTATGGTAAACTTAAAAGTATTTTCGATGTTTTTATTTAAATATGAATTATATTATTACTTAGTCAAATCATTGGCCCTATAGAATGTCGTGTATTGATAATATTTTAATTGAATGCACTCCTAACGTCAATAATTTGGTGAAGCATTAAATAAAACTATGACAGTAGTATGATACTACTGTCATTGTTTTATTTAATTACAGGTAGTATGATAATCAGCTCGCTGGTTATATCATTACAACAATTTCAACGTTAACAATTACATTTAGATATAGAATATATAGGTATAGAGATAAAAGGTATAATTACATTAATTACAGCTCATATATATGGTATTAATCATAGTTTTCTATTAGATGTGAGTAAGTAACTTAATTTAATTGTCAACAATAAGTTTCTATCATTTAATTTTTATATTAAACAATTTAATTTTATCTCATTCAGGTAGTAATTTTTTTGCTAAGCATAAAAACTCTTAAAAATTAAACGAAGTAAATTTTAAAGAGTTTTTTCTGACTTTAAAATAAATAAGAAAGTTTCAACGAGTTATTTGAAATATTTCATTGGAAGTAAAAAAGACTAATTATTTGTTAAATATTAGCATAATTCGTTATTATAACAAAATAGTTTTTGTTAAGAGATTATCAAATATACAGTTTCTCATAACTCATTAACTCATATAACTTTTGTTACAATTATTATTTTATTGAAATCTTTTAACAAATTATTTATTACTAATAAGAAAAGATATAAATAAAAGTCTTTTATTTATTTCAAAATGAGCATTTTTTTAGCTATTTTCTAACAAAAAATTTTGTTGGGTCAATAACAATTTTTGGAAAAATACTCACTGAGTTATAAACATTTTAATAAATAGAGTGGATATACAATCCGAGTAGAGTGTGCGTTATAAATATACATCAATATCAACTGTATCCACCCTCGTTTAACATATTAATAAAAAAACACACACCTAAGCAATAATTTCATACGATAACAATAACATTAATAATAATCATTGATAAAGAAGCAATTATGTATAATTTAGAGTAAGGTAAGTAAGATTTGAAGATTGTATTGTAGTACTATGTTACGTTCGTATCTATTTCTTTAATAACTAAGTGTTTCATACACTAATTTAACTAAATAATTACAGTCAGAGAAAAAAATATAGCAAACAGTTAATAAACTACTATTTAATTTAAGTATCAATAATAATTAATTATGGTTTTTTATTACATATTTGTTTGCATAATCTTCCCAGTAAAATAGTAATTAAAGCCTAATATCTAAGAAAAATATTTAAAAAAATATACAGGCATAATTATGTTGTATATTGGAATGCTAATATTTATGATTAATTACAAATAAATTTATAGTTATTGACGCAAAGTAAACATCTTGATCACACTTTCATAGCATTCGAAGTATAGGCGTTAACTGTTAACTGAATAACTCAATTTAAACTTTTGTTATACCTAATAACAAACTTAAAATCTAATAAAAAAAATTGTTTACTAAGATATATACTAAAGTAAAATATTATATTTTAAATCACTATTTTACATTATAACTACATAGAGGTTTCTAGTTTCTTAGATTCTTGATATAGAAAATTATTCAAAAAGATATTATGGAAATAATTTTATAAAAAAAAAATTACTAAAAA